TCCCATTTGAGGCTCAGAGGACCAGCTTGTTTCTGTAGGATACCAGGGCTGATTTAAGGGCAAAGGCCTTTAACAGGGAATATTACCCCAGACAAGTGCTCTCATTCAGGTTACCGCCATCCTTGCCCTAGCAACATTTCATCCTGGCTGCTGGCTTCCCAAGACTGTATCAGCTGTTGTAAAATAAAAAATGATGATAACTACCATTTATTGGGAGTTGTTCTGTGCCAGGCAGTGGGCTTTACAATCTCTGTAATACTTTATTCCCTCAGCACTGACTTATTTGAACAAACCTATGCTCACATATGATTCCTCTCTTTGTTACATGTGACGGATAAGAGTTGCACTGTTAATTTCTACAACACATCTTTGGAGCATGTTAACTGCTGCCAGAGGGCTTTCTTCTAAGTTAAAAACATAAGAACAAAATTACATAATTAATGCATTTTGTTTTTTGGTGGTTAACTTTTCACATAGAAACTACAAAGCCATCGTCCAGCAACAATAATCAATTCATGTTCAAGGTTGTTTCATGTGCCACGCCTGCCTCCCACCTTTTTTTGCAGAATTATTTTAAAGCTAATTCTAGACATTGTATCATTTCACTTATAAATGTTTCATTATGTGTCCTTAACTGAGAAGGACTTAAATTTACCCTTTTTAAAAAAACTGAGGTATAATTTATGTACAACCAACTACACAGATCTGAAGTATATGTTTCAGTGGATTTTGACAGACATGTACTCCTATGTAACCATCACCTCCAACAACTGGAATCTGTGTCCTGTTTCAGAATTCTTTGCCTACACCAAAGTCATGATGGTATTCTCCTATGATTTTTTTTCCTAGAAGCTTAAAGTTTTAACTTTTACATTTATGATCCATTTTGATGTATTTTTTTTGTGTATGGTTTGAGGTTTTGAGGTTTGACATAGTACTTGTTTATAGCACCATTTGTTGAATCTACTCTCCTTTTACCATTGTATTGCTTTGGTGCCTTTGTTGAAAATCATTGACTGTGTAAGTGTGGGTTTATTTCTGGACAGTCTCTTCTGTTCCGTTAATTTAATCAACATCACATTGTCTTGATAACTTCAGCTTTATACTAAGTCTGTTTTTTTATATTTTTTAGAAAATTTTAAATTTATTTTTAGCTGCGTTGGGTCTGTGTTGCTGCACACGGGCTTTCTGTAGTTTGCAGTGAGCAGGGACTACTCTTTGTTGTGGCGTGCGGGCTTCTCATTGCAGTGGTTTCTCCTGTTGCGGAGCATGGGCTCTAGGCACATGGCCTTCAGTAGTTGTGGCGCACGGGTTCTAGGGTGCGTGGTCTTCAGTAGTTGTGGCACGCGGGCTCAGCAGTTGTGGCTTGTGGCCTCTAGAACGCAGGCTCAGAAGTTGTGGCGCATGGGCTTAGTTGCTCCGGGGCATGTGGGATCTTCCCGGACCAGGGATCGAACCCCTGTCCTTGCATTGGCAGGTGGATTCTTAACTACTGCGCCACGAGGGAAGTCCCTATACTAAGTCTTGAAACCATTTATCATAAGTCTTCTTTTACAGGGTTGTTTTAGCTATTCAAGGTCCTTTTCATTTCCAAATATTTTTTTGAATCAGCTAGATTTTTTCAACAAAAATAAGTCTTGTGGGATTTTGATTGGAATTGTGTTGAATCTGTAGATCAGTTTGGTTAGAATCGACATCTCAAGAGTACTGAGTTTTCCACCCACAAACTAAGTATATCTATCTATTTATTTAGGTCTTTAATTTCTCAAAGTAACATTTTGTAGTTCTCAGTGTAGAATGTTTGCACATCTCTTCAAATTCATTCCTATACATTTTATGTTCTTGATGTTTTTGGAAATGTTTTTAAAATGTAACTCTCCAGTTGTTTCTGACTAGTATTTAAAAATACAATTGATGTTTGTATGTTGACCCCTCATGTCCAGCCACCTTGCTAAATTTAAATTAACTTACTACTTCTAGTTTTTTTTTTATTGAGGTATAGTTGATTTACAATATTATATAGGTTTCAGATGTACAACATAGTTATCCACAATTTTTAAAAATTATACTCCATTACAGTTATTATAAAATATTGGCTATATTCCCTGGAGGGTATTATGCTTAGTAAAATAAGTCAGACAGAGAAAGACAAATACTGTGTGATCTTACTTATATGTGGAATTTTAAAAAGCTGAACTCAGGGAAGCAGAGAGTACAGTGGTGATTGCCAGGGGCTGGAGATAGGGGAAATTAGGAGATGTTGGGTACAAACTTTCTCTCTCTGACTTATTTCGTTAAGCATAGTACCCTCCAGGTCCATCCATGTTGTTGCAAATGGCAAAATTTCATTCTTTTTATGGTTGAGTAATATTCCATTGTAGTACATGTATACCACGTCTTATCCGTTCATCTGTTGATGGACATTTAGGTTGTTTCCATATCTTGGCTGTTGTAAATAATGCTTCTGTAAACATTGGGGTGCATGTGTCTTTTCAAATTAGTGTCTTTGTTTTCCTTAGGTATATACCCAGAGTGGAATTGCTGGATCATATAGTACTTCTAATTTTAGTTTTTTGAGGAACATCCATGCTGTTTTCCACAGTGGGCGCACCAATTTACATTCCCACCAACAGTTCTCACCAACACTTGTTATTTGTGTTTTTTTTGATGACGGCCATTCTGACAGATGTGAGGTGATATCTCACTGTAGTTTTAATTTGCATTTCTCTGATGGTTAGTGATGTTGAGCATTTTTTATGTGCCTGTTGGCCATCTTCATGTCCTCTTTGGAAAAATGTCTATTCACATCTTCTGCTCATTTTTTATTTTTATGTTTTATTTTATTTTATCTTCCAAAAAATGGATATTTAAATGTATTCGATTAGCAAAGATTAAAAAGATAATTCCTAGTGTTGGTAAAAAGTTGGAAAGCAGAACTGTATATTCATTGGTGGCTGTGCTTCTTATCCAGTCCATGTTCTGTGTATACTGAAAATTTGAGGTCTCTAGGTGCCATACTGTGTACCAGTCTTCACTAAACATCTTCCCTTTTTTTAAAATTAATTTTTATCAGAGTATAGTTGCTTTACAATGTTGTATTAGTTTCTGCTGTACAGCAAAGTGAATCAGTTACATGTATACATATATCCACTTTTTCAGATTTCCTTCCCATCTAGGTCACCACAGAGCACTGAGTAGAGTTCCCTGTGCTATACAGCAGGTTCTTATTAGTGATCTATTTTATACATAGTAGTCTATACATGTCAATCTCAATCTCCCAATTTAACCTACCTTCCCTTCCCCCGTTGGTAACCATCAGTTTGTTCTCTACATCTTTGACTCTATTTCTGCTTTGCAAATAAGTTCATCTCTATCATTTTTCTACAGTCCACATACAAGTGATATTATACGATATTTGTTTTTCTCTTTCTGACTTCACTCTGTGTGACAGTCTCTCGGTCCATCCATGTCTCTGCAGATTTCTGCCCTTTTTTCTTTTTTTAAATTAATTAATTAATTAATTTTTGGCTCCGTTGGGTCTTCGTTGCTGCGTGTGGGCTTTTTCTAGTTGTGGAGAGTGGGGGCTACTCTTAGTTGTGGTGTGTGGGCTTCTCATTGCGCTGGCTTCTCTTTTTGCAGAGCACGGGCTCTAGGCGCATGGGCTTCAATAGTTGTGGCATGCATGCTCAGTAGTTGTGGCTCGCGGGCTTAGTTGCTACCTGGCATGTGGGATCTTCCTGGACCAGGGCTTGAACCCGCTTCCACTGCATTGGCAGGCGGACTCTTAACAACTGCGTCACCAGGGAAGTCCCCCCATTTTTTAATTGAGTTTTTTTTTTGATATTGAGTTGTATGAGCTGCGATTTTTGATATTGAGTTGTATGAGCTGCTACAACTTCTAGTTTTTATTTGGACTTTTGGATTCTAGGATACAGTCATGACTGCAAACAAAGATAGGTTTATTTCCCATAGATAATCAGTTTTATTATTTTTCTATATATACCTCCAGTATTTAAAAAATTTTTTTTTGAAGTCCAGTTGATTTACAATGTTGTGTTAATTTCTGCTGTACAGCAAAGTGATTCAGTTATACATATATCTGTTCTTTTTCATATTCTTTTCCATTATGGTTTATCACAGGATTTTGAATATAGTTCCCATGCTATACAATAGGACCTTGTTGTTTATCCGGCAGTATTTTTTATGAAAAGACAATCAAAGATTAAACACACATATTAAACCCTGCTCCCCACCCCCCACCTTTCCTAAAGGGGTCCTTGTTAAACTGAACCTTTTAATTGATATGTAATAAAATATACCCACCACTTCCTTACTGGCTTTTGGATTTTATGTGTGTGTTTTTTTGGCCATGCCGTGTGGCTTGCGGGATCTTAGTTCCCCGATCAGGGATTGAACGTGTGCCCCCTGCAGTGGAAGTGTGGAGTCTTAACCACTGGACTGCCAGGGAAGTACCTCCTTGGTTTTTTTTTCTTTTAGAGTAGGCTTACCTTTCCTCTGTTCTCAGAACATGAGAGATGGTAGAATAATGCAGTGCTTACAAGTGGCACTGTCACTTTCAGTCACATTTCCTTGTCCAGGGCAAGTCATGAGAGCAAGCCTGACGTCAGGGGCAGAGAATTATAGAGAGAAACAAATAATTGGGAATGATGATGATATCTACCACAAAGGGCCTACAGGCTAGAAAGGAATGAGGTAAAAAAAAATGCAAGGAGCCTTGTGGACTGAGACTCTGTGTGTATTGTGTGAGAGGACAGGATCCCTGCTGAAGAGGCACAGGCATAGGGCCCACAGTAAGGGTCCCAGCAATGTCAATTGTTTCTCTGTCCCACAGGTCCCGGCTGCATGGCAACAAGTTGGGCTTTTATAAGTAAGTTTTGGAGGAATCACACGAGGCAGCAGAAATTGATTTTGAGATGAAATCATTTCTACCAGGCCTCCTGGCAGAATTTCAATGCGAACACGGGGCTGACTCTGGGGCCATGATGTTGCCTGATCCTTCTGCCTGGAGAGAGCAGGACTGGGAGGAGATGTTGCGTTTGGAGAACAGGGAAGTTACGGAAACTGTGAAGACACCGACTCAGAATCACAAGGCAAAAGGTGAGAGCTGTTGAGGGTCCAGAGAGGTGAAGAGGGGGAGCAGGGCTCCAGGTTTACTGCGAATGCCTTGTGATCACAGGAAAGGGGCGACTTCCTCTTCACAAGGCACGGAGGAGCTGCTCTGGCAGCACCACGGGAGCCCCAGTTTCTCATAGCTTCTTTTTCCTTCTCTAGGTTTGCCTTCTCACAAGACTGACTGGCTTCAAGAAAAGGAGGGAAAAGTCCAAAATACTGGTGAGTTGGGGTTACATTTATTTAAAGTCTCTCAAAATTGCTCTTAAGGACATGTGGCAAGTAGCGAAACATTTATTTAAGAAAATCTAAATCAGCAAGAGTCTGTGGCATTTGTCCCACAACCTGCTCCCTCCTGGTCACCCTTCAGCTCAGTGTAATGGAAGCTGTACTCCAAATGGGTACAGCTAAGAAGATGGGACTTTCTTCCCCCAGTTCCCAGTCTTTTTTCCCTGGGAGGGGCAAGCTACCAGCAATTCTTATTCCCCCCAGCTCAGTGTGGCAGGCAAGTGTGGCCAAGAAGTCTGGCGTTTTCTATCTCCACTAGACCCTATTTGTATGATGGAAGCTCTGTCTCAGGCACAGGTGGTCAAGAATCAGGAGGGACCTTACTGCCTTCTCCCCATCTTGCTCATAGGGCAGACAAAGATCCTGTGCTAGGAGAGGCATGCTGAGAAGAAAAGGAGCTGCCACCCCTGCCCAGTGCCCCACTGTTAGAGCAGGAGTGTCACACTGAGCGAAGTGGTCTGCCAGTCCTGTGCCACCTCTGAGTAGTGGTGCAGAGGTCCTGCCCTGGTGGGAGGCAGGCCATAGGAACAGAGAGCTCTACAGTGCTCCCTAAGGGGACTGGCTTTGTGTGGAACTGAGTAGGGAAGTTGAAGTCTTAGGGTGTTGTTGAAAACAGTGGAGATTTTGGTGGTGAGCAATTAAGAGGAAACTGAGAAGCCTATGATAGCAATAAGGGAAATGGCAGATCAGCTGGAAGTTTAACAGAGAAAGCAGGGAAAGAAATTGCTGAGAGGAGCTCTCCTACGGGTCAGAGTAAGTCTCAAATACTGGCCTCAAAATTACCCCTGCAAAAGGATCTGACTTTAATTGGATCAGACTATGGAGCCATTTATACTCCAGGACATTGTTGAAAACAGTAGAGCAATCAGCAACCAATAGTGGAGGCTAACAGTCGGGTGTGATACCAATAGAGGCAGACCTGCTGGAAGCTTAACGGGGAAGTCAAGGAGAGACACAAAGAGAGCCCTCTGTCAGGAGGGGGAAGGTCTGGGTGACTGTGTGTTTGCTCAAGGCTGCACCCTCTGAGGAGCCACTGCTTCAGGGGAAATAACCTTCATCGAACTAATCCAGACAGGTCTCAAAACAAATGAACAAGCAGACAACCACAACAGCCTAGGAAGAGGGCAGGGTTGGTATCCAGAGTTGCTATAATATTTTACCTAAAATGTCCAATATTCAAAGAAAAATTATATAGATAAGGGGAGGGAGAAGGAGGGAAAGGGAAAGAAAGAATATATGAATTTAAGAATGAGAGAAAGCCTAAATAAATTTTCCTGGTCTGTAAAATGAAAACAACTTTTCAGTTCTATGAGTTAAATTATAATCTCACTGGATTGTAAATTCATCTTCCCCTATTGGTTATGAGTTGTTCATTCATTCATTGATACACTGTGGACACAAAGTTATACTCCTAGAGAATGTCCAGTGGGGTTGGGGCTAGGAAGTAAAGTGAGCTAAATGCCCTGCTTTCATTCCAGGAAGCTTATTGAAGTATAGGCAGAACTTGGAGATATTGTGGGTTTGGTTCCAGACCACCATGGTACAGTGAATATCACAGTAAAGTGAGACACATGAAATTTTTGGTTTCTCAGTGCATATAAAAGTTATGTTTACACTATACTGTAGTCTATTATGTGTTCAATAGCATTATGTGTGAAAAAAACAATATACATACCTTAATTAAAAAGTACTTTATTGGACCCTGGAGGTCCAGTGGTTAAGACTTCGCCTTCCGTTGCAGGGGGTACAGGTTTGATCCCTGGTCAGGGAGCTAAGATCCCACATGTCTCACAGCCAAAAAACCAAAAACATAAAACAGAAACATTATTGTAACAAATTCAATAAAGACTTTAAAAATGGTCCACATCAAAAAAATCTTTAAAAAACACTTTATTGCTAAAATATGCTAACCATCCTCTGAGCCTTCAGCAAGTTGCAGTAGTAACATCAAAGATCATTCATCACAGATCACTGTAACAAATATAATAATAATAAAAACATTTGGAATGTGAGAATTACCAAAATCTGACACAGAGACACGTGGTGAGCAAATGTTGTTGGAAAAATGGCGCCAATAGACTTGTTTGACACGGGGTTGCCACGAACCTTCAATTGTGAAAAACTTGATGTCTATGACGGGCAATAAAGCAAAGTGCAGTAAAATGAGGTACACCTGTACTGCTCTGTGTGATGAGTGAAGCATTAAGGGCTTTATTTTAAAAAGGTTAAAATACCAGGCAAAGACAGATTTTGCAGATCCCATTTAGTATAACCTGAACTCTTCAAAAATGCTTATTCCGTGCTCCACCTGTTCACTCCTGCTTTTCTCTATGGTTGAAGTTTTCTTTCATTGTCTCCTCTAAATCATCTCCATTCCCTAATGCCCAGGACACGCCTTGTGTACATGATGCTTTTTTTCTTCTCCAGCGCATGCTCTATTCTTCATCTCAGAATTCCTCCATTCCTCAGGGTCATTGAGCACTGCTTTAGGTTTTCAAGTTGATTCACAAATCATTTCTCCAAAGAAATCAAAAGCGTCCGAGGGCCAGGAATGAGTTTTATGCATCAGTTATGTGTTCCTCAGATTTTAACACAAAGCCATAGTAATAATGCCCAGAAGAACTTGATACAGAGAACCATGTACCCTGAAAAGAATTAGATCAACTTCTTGCATATACAGACTCTCTGGGGCCACCAGCTATGTTCCTCATAGTGGCAGGACTGATGGGGACTTGCTGTATGTCCCTTAATTTATTGCTTGTTTATAATTACTGGTTACATTCAGGGATGTGGCTGTGGTCTTCACAGAGGCAGAATGGAAGAGACTGAGCTCTGAGCAGAGGGACCTATACAGAGAAGTGTTGCTGGAGAATTATAGGAATCTGCTCTCGTTGGTAAGGCAGTGTTCTTTCCTTCATTAATTCAGTGGAGATTTACTGACCACCTCCCATATGGCAGAAAATGTTCTAGACACTTAGAACATGTTAGTGAATGAAGTGGTAATCTCTGCCCATGGGGAATTACTTTCTACTGCAGGGAGACAGCTAACAAAAAGCTTCATATTCAGGGACATTATTATTATTTAAAAATTTTTGCATATGTTTAATTTTCTTTTTTATTGAAATATAGTTGATTTACAATATTACATAAGTTTCAGGTGTACAATGTAGTGATTCACAATTTTTAAAGGTTATACTCCGTTTTTGGTTATTACATATATAGGGATATTATAATATGGTATGTTAGAAGGTGATAAGCACTACATAGTAAAAAATAATAATAAAATAGAACCGGATAAAGGAGTATTGAGTGTGAGAGGGTGGCTGGCTGAATTTTGAAATTGGGTATTTGAAATCACCAAGAAGGTAACATTTGACCAAAGGGAGTTAGAACTCTAGGTATCTAGGATAAGAGCATTTCAGGTGGAGGGCCTCGTCGGTGCTAAGGCCCTAAGGAATTGGGGTGCCTGCTGGATATAAGGAACTGCGGTGGAGGCACAGTATGCAAGGGGAGAGCAGTGAGAAATGCCTTCTAAGACAGAAGTTAACATTAAATACCAAAGTTTGTATGGCTTTTGAGTTTCATAAGCCATATTTTTTTCATTTATTTAAAAACTGACATTGATTCTTTAAATCTAGGTTGATAAATACTTTTTTTTTTGTGGTACGTGGGCCTCTCACTGTTGAGGCCTCTACTGTTGCGGAGTACAGGCTCCAGACAGGCATGTGGGATCTTCCCGGACCGGGGCACGAACCCGTATCCCCTGCATCGGCAGGCGGACTCAACCACTGCGCCACCAGGGAAGCCCGATAAATACTTTTGATTGTGATGTTTCTCTGGATCAGGGGTTGGCCAACTTTTTCTGTAAAGGGCCAGAAAGTAACTATTTTAGGTTTTGTGTGTGATATGGTTTCTGTAACCACTCTCAACTCTGCCCTTGTAGGGCTAAAGTAGCTGTAGACAGCAGGTAAATGAATGAGCATAGCTGTGTTCTAGTAAGACTTGTGTGGACACTGAATTTTGGATTTCATGTAATTTTTATATATCATGAAATATTATTCTTTTGATTTTTTTCCAACTTTAAAAATTTTAAAGTCATTCTTAGCTTGTATACTGCGCAGAAATAGAGGGCCAGATTTAGCTTGTGGGCCATAGTTTTCCCACCCCTTGTTCTAAATCAGTGCTGTCCAGTAGAAATATAATGTGAGCCATGTGGTAATTTTAAATTTCCTAGTAACCACATTTAAAAAAGTAGAAGTAAATGGGTGAAATTAATTTTAATAATATCTTATTTAACCCCATATATCAAAATATTTTCATGTCAACATATAATCAATATAAAAATTAATTAGGGGCTTCCCTGGTGGCGCAGTGCTTGAGAGTCCGCCTGCCGATGCAGGGGACGCGGGTTCGTGCCCCGTTTCGGGAGGATCCCGCGTGCCGCGGAGCGGCTGGGCCCATGGGCCGTGGCCGCTGGGCCTGCGCGTCCGGAGCCTGTGCTCCGCAAATGGGAGAGGCCGCAGCAGTGAGAATATCCTTTAAATATATCTTTTTTTAAATTAAAAACAAATATTTATTTCATAATGTCAATGCCATATTCACATCAAAAAGATTAACAAAATTTCAAAATAAAAAAAAAAAAAAAAAAAAAAAATTAATTAGATATTTTACTCTTTATTTTTGTACTAAGTGTTCAAAATCTGGTTGTCATTTTATACTTAGAACACATTTTCGTTCAGACCAGCCACATTTGAAGTGCTCAGGAAGCATACAGCTGGTGGCTACCATATTGGATAGTGTGGTTCTAGATATTCCTGTAGTTCTAGATAAAGCAGGTAGAGAAAAATCACGTTTTTGGAGACACAAACTAGTTTTAGGCAGGAGTTTCTTCAGGTGTTTCCTTAAATGGCATAGCTATTTCCCTGATATGGATTAATCAGGTTTACTTTTTTCATTTTCATCTTCTTTGACATGTTTTGATCTGATTTTATCTAGTTTGAGCTCCATCTAATTAAGTGTGGATTCATCTGTTTCAGTCTGGTTCTGTATGTTTTGATTTGGCCTTAGCTAGTCAGTCTAACTAGATTTTGTTTTTATTTTTCTCTTGTCATATTATCTTCCTTCTCTGTGTTAATATGTTTAATGGGTTCCAAGGAAAATGTCAAAATGAACTTGTTCAGATTAGTCTTTTTTTTTTTTTTTTTTTTTTTTTTTTTTTTTTTGCAGTATGCGGGCCTCTCACTGTCGTGGCCTCTCCCGTTGCGGAGCATGGGCTCTAGACGCGCAGGCTCAGCGGCCATGGCTCACGGGCCCAGCCGCCCTGCGGCACGTGGGATCCTCCCGCACTGGGGCACGAACCCGCGTCCCCTGCATCGGCAGGTGGACTCCCAACCACTGCGCCACCAGGGAAGCCCTCAGATTAGTCTTGATATTGAATGCCTGGATCCCACTTGCATTTCTTGAAGTTGTGTCCTTTATCTTGCTCAGCACCACAATATCCTGCAGTTCTCCTGCCTCTTATGTCTCTTGTGGGCTTTTCTCTTACTTTTTTCTTTTCTTTGGACTGTAAGGGTCCATAGGACTAGTGTCGCATACTCTTTTTTTCTGTCAGTATTCACACCCTTGAACAGTTTGTGAACTTAAACAGTTTTACCCATCACCTATTATAATGAATCCATTTTCTTTGTCACTGTATCACCTGCGCTTTATCTTCATATTTCTGTTTGGTTACAAGACAGCACAAGTTTATTCTCAAACTTATCAAAAATTGAGATCATACTATTTTTCCTCCTAAACCAGTCTCTCTTTCTCTAGTTCTTCACATGTTCATGTTATGATGTCTCTTCTTCAAAGGTACTCCCTGAAATAATCTTTAAAGCTTTCATAGGGGAGATATTTCAGTTAGTTTAGGTTAGGTAATGCTGTGATAACAAACAACCCCAAACTTTGCAAATGTTCATTTCTTACTTAATATCTACTGTCTACAGTTCAGGTAGACAGCTCTATTGGTTCAGCTCTGCTGGCTCTGGGATCTAGGCAAAAGGAACAGCCTCTATCTGGGTCATGGGATTCTTAAGGAAGAGGGAAAACAGCAATGATAGAACCATACTGTGCCTCTTAAAACTTGTTTGGAAGAAGCACTAACTTTTCACTAACCTTTGTTGGCCAAAGCGAATCCCATAGCCACGTCTGATGTCACTATAATGGGATTAGTTTGGGCACAAGGTACCAGAATCCTGAAATCATGGAGCATGTCTTTCTGTCCACTGCTGAATCCACAATACTTTAGTAGAGAACCTAATACTTAGAAATTTTTAGTATTTGTTTGTGGGTGGACAACTGGAAATTCAGATTTATTTCATATACAGTCTCTTTAACCACTGTTTCATATACTGTTTCCTACAATTTGAAAGCCTTCCAGACCTAGTGACTTTTTTTGTATATCAGTCTTCTATTTTGTAATAGAAAAGGCATGAAAGAGATTTCCACATAGGTCATAGAGACTGTTACCTCCAAGTAGAACAGAGTTGTGGACAGTGTATATCAATGTGATATAGACTTAGATGGTTTAGTCAGAGGAAAAGGCTAAGGGTAGTTGAGGCTACTTGCAGAGCAAAAAGGTTCCTGGTCTGACTGACATATAGAAGATGCTTTTGTTATGGATTTTCTGGATTGCAATAGAAAATGGAATGTGTAGAAGTGGAATGTAAAGGAATTATTGGTGGGAATCAAATTGTGTTGTATGTATATTGTCAATTACAGTTGTGGCAGTAAGACACTTTCTGTCCTAAGACAAGGCAGAACGGCCCAGCAGCTCTACTTAGGGCTTCTCTAACTGAAAACCTTGTCTCTCCAGCAGAACCAAAGCCAGAGATCTACCCCTGTTCTTCCTGCCTTCTGGCCTTTTTCTGTCAGCAGTTCCTCAGCTAACACACGCTGCAGATCTTCCTGGGTGTGTGTGTAGAAAATCATTTCCACCTGGGGGATTCTGGCCTGGGGTATCGGGGGAAGCAGTATGCTGCTCACAGCTGCTGGAGTGAAAACACAGAAGGCCAAGAGAGAGAAGGTGACTCCAGACTCTGGTGCTCGAGGACAGAGGAGAGACGGCCCTTACGTGCATTGCCCAGCCCACCCTGAGAACAGTCAGCAAGTCCTGGAGAAGGCAGCGTAGTGGTAGAAATAGAGCCCAGCGCAGCCCAAAGGGTAAACCCTTTGCAAGCAGACAAAGAAATGAAGGAATTAGAAACCTCAAGCTCTGGAGCAGTCAACTGTCAAGAACGTGAACTAGACTGTAGCCCCAAATCAACCTGCATTACAAACCAGACCATCCTCTTAGGGGAGAAGCCCTATGTCTTCAGGGAGTGTGGGCGAGGCTTTAAAGATAAGTTGAACCTCATCAGACACCATTGGACACACTCAATGGAGAAGCCTTATGTGTATAGTGAGTGTGGCCGAGGTTTCAGCCAGGTGTCAACCCTTATAAATCACCGGAGGACACACTCAGTGAAGAAGCCTTACATGTGCAGGGAGTGTGGGCGGGGCTTTAGCCAGAAATCACTCCTCCTTGTGCACCAGAGGACACACTCAGGGGAGAAGTATTATGTTTGCAGGGAGTGTGGGCGAGGCTTTAGCAACAAGTCAAGTCTCATAAGACACCAGACGACACACTGAGAGGAGAAGTCTTGTGTATGCAGGGGTCCTGGGCAGGACTTTAGCAATTAGTCGAACCTCTTCTTACGCCAGAGAGACATGCGGGGAGTAGTCTGTATGTGTGTGGGGGGTGTGAGTGAAGCTTCAGAGATGTGTTGACCCTCATCAGGCAGTGAGGCACATTCAGGGCAGGAGCCTTATGCGTGCAGAGTGTGGGTAGCTGTCAACCCTCGGTGCACAAAGAGGACGCACTTAGGTGGGGAGTGTTGTGTGTGCAGGGACTGTGGGGAAGCTTTAACGATAAGTCAGCATTTATGGAACATCCAGTGGCCGACTCAGGAGAAGCGTCGTGTGTTCGGGGAGTGCTGACAGGCATTGGGAAAAGAACCGACAGGAGGGCTCCAGATGCCTCACTCAGGGAGGAGCTGTGTGTTTGCAGGGAGTGTGGGCAAGGCTCTTGTGATCAGTCAGCTTTCTTCACACACTGTAGGGAGAATCCTTATGTGGGGATACTGTGGGGCTGCTCCAGCCAACTGCTGCTGATAGCTGCAGAGATGAATTCCTCACTAGACTTGCTCTCAGCCACAGGGAGCTGCACTTCCCAAGGGATGCCTCCTGGCCAGCGACTGATTGATACGGGGAGACAAAACCCTAGCCAGACTCTGCTGGGACAACTCCACAGGGTCATCCCAGATCCAAGGTCCCCATGAGACTGAATAATCTCAAACACATTGCAGGTCAGCTTCTTCCTCTGCCCAGTCCTGTCCTCATTCCCCGATAAGCCACTCAGTTCTCTGCCTCATTGTCTCTCCAGGGAATCCACCCTAAGATATCATAAGCACACAAGGAGTGTGGACGAGGCTTTGGCTAAAAGTCGCTCCTCAACAAACCCCAGAGTATACAGAATAGAAGCTCTGTGTGTGCGGGGAGAATGGGTAGGGACATCTCAGGATGCATCAGAGAACAGCTTTTGAGGGAGAAGCTTTACAAGGCAGGGAGGGAGACTGGGAAGATTTAGCAATAAGTTACACCTTCTGGTGCAGCCGAGGACACTCAGGGAGTCCTGTGTGGGTGGGCTTGTGGGCGGAGCCTTATTCGGACAGCCCTCCTCACAGATCGCTACCTCACTCTCCTCCTGGGGGGGTCCCAGGAGTCTTGACCCCAACCCGTCCCCATACTCTTTTTGAGAGTGAAGATGGCAGTAACAACTTAATAAACATGTTTTTTCCACTTTTTGTAATCATATGGAATAAAAAAGTAGAAGGCTTTGTTTAAGTAAGAATAATCAATTTGTTTTATTTTCA